CCCTCACAGGGAAGAATTCCTTCCCAGTATCCCATCTAACCCTGCCCTCTGACAGTGGGAAGCCATTCCCCCTTGTCCTGTCCCTCCAGGCCCTTGTGTAAAGCCCCTCTCCAGCTCTCTTGGAACCCCTTTATGCACTGGAAGGGGCTCTCAGGTCTTCCCAGAGCCTTCTCTTCTCCAGGCTGAACCCCCCCAGCTCTCCCAGCCTGTCGTGGGTCAGCACTCCCACCTTCCCCATGGCCACGCCCGGTCTGGCCCTGGTATCACCTTGGCATTGCCCTGGTGTCACCCTGGCACAGCCCCGGTGGCACTCACCCGCTGGAGGAGGTGCTGGGCAGCGTCCTCCTCATGCCGGTGCTGGAGGGGTTCAGGTCGTAGGCCAGGTGGCCCTGCAGCTCCCCCAGGGAGAAGTTTGGCCCCGTGCCCGTCACCACCGGTGCTGTGGGGAGAGAGGGGGGTCAGGGGGGCCTGGCAGGGAGGGGAGCCCTTGGGACACTGCTGTGCCCGGGCAGCCAGGGGGACGGGCTGTGGCACTATGGTGACACTCACTTCGGGACACCTGGATGAGCTCGGTGACACTGAACACCCCCGAGGTGACGAAGCTTTCCTGGAAGTCTGTGGAATCTGTGCAGGAGAGAAGAGAGAGCGCTGAGGGGGCAACAGGGCCACCCCTCCCATCCTGCACTGCCTTGTGGCGATGCTTGAAGGTACCCCAACATCCCCAAATCCCCATCTGCCCCTGTCTTCAGCCTCCACTCTACTCTCTGCTCCAGCAAGAGACCATCCTGACTGCTCCTCTCTGCCAAGGACACCCCAGAGATGCCCTATGCCTTGGTTTCCCTGTGGCTGAGAGTCCCGGCAGGGCTGGGGGCTGCACTCCCATCATGGGACCCCCATGGCAGCTGCTGTCCCCAAGGGACGTGGCCCCAGCTGGCTGTGGGACAAGGCTGAGGCCATGCCCAGCTCATTGAAGGTGCCTGGCCCTGCTGGCTGGGGTTGGGGGGCACCAGAGCCACAGCATGGGGGGCACGACTGCTGGTCAAGGGGGCCCCTCCATGGCAGGGACTCTGGGCTGAGGAGTCCCTTGTCCCCTGGCCCCAGCCCTGCCTGTCCTGCTCACCCAGCGTGATGGGTTTGCTGTCCTCCTGGTCCGAGCCGATGCCTGTCCGGGGGCTGCTGCTCTGCTCTGCATCTGCAAGAGGAAAACCCAGTGGGGTGAGCCCCGTGCTGGTGGGAGCCGGGCCTGCCCCCCAGCTGACTGCCCCCTCCTTGCTCTGCTGGGGGGAAACCGAGGCACAGGCTGCCCAGCAGCTCCCACCACACAGGAGGGCCACCACTGAGCTGGCACGTCCCCAGCACTGGGGAACAGCCACCAACTGGCCCCACCTCGGCCTCCCTGCCAGCAACAGGAGCAGGCAGGGCATTGCGCTGGCATTGCAGGATCTGGGCACTGCTCTGTGCACGAGGGAAACTCCCAGTGCTCGACCTGCCCCCGGGGCAGGGTGATGGTCCCTGGCCATGCTCCTGCCCTCCTGCTTCCTCTCCTCCCTCCAGCCACATCCGTGATCCATCGTTGCCCCACTGGGCACTGTCACCACAGCATGGCATCACCTGTGGCACCTCGTCCTGCCTCTGCCAAGCCCTCCGGAGGGCAGCAGGGCTCCAGGGCAGCACCTGCTCTGACCCCTGGAGCCCCATCCGGCACCGCTCCATCCTGGCTAAAAATAACCTGGCTCAGACGCTGAGCTCAGCGGCCCCGGCATCCCCTGGCACGGCACAGCACGGCACAGCCGCCGCGCTCAGGAGCATCCTTCCTCACCTGGCTGCTCCCAAAGCCCTTCCAAAACTTTTGCCTTGCATTTTCTCCACTTCTCCTCCTTCCTTCTTCTCCTCCTCCCACCCCTTGGCCTTCGGCATTTCTCTTTCACAGCCTTGGCAGATGCCAGGAAAGGGCTGAGACAATCCAAAAACACCATCAAAACCACGCTGCCGCCGCTGCCAGCCCGCCTGTGCGCCTTGGGATTTTTCCCTTTCTCCCCCTTTTTCTCCCCCTTTTCCTTTCTTCCCTTGAGTCTCTCGTGCTCACGTGGCTCCCGGGGTGGTTATCCTTGGCTGGGCAGGATAACCCTGTGGGCAGCAGCACTGTGCCCCCCCGACCCTGACACCTCTGCATGCTGCCCACTGGGCAGGTTATCCGTGCGGGCAGTGGGGCTGTGCCGTTCCCCACCCTGACACCCCTCCACATCACCTCCCACCCCAGCACTCCCATGTGCCCACACCCGCCCCGGGACTGCTCAACACCGA